AACATTTACTGGATGTGTTTAATTATCCAGACATCAAATTTAATACTTTCTCCTACTGTAACTCATAAAGATATAGATCAATGCTTTTGTCAAAACTGTAGTCCAATCAAAATTGTTTAAGCAGTACATCAAGTGCTTTTGTATTTTCGTTCTGCTGAGTCATTTTGTCAATCTTTGGAGAAGAAAAGTCCCCTTTTACTGGATGAACCTGACACTAGATTTAACAACTTCATAGACTTGAATACCCATCTCACGACAAGCAGCCGTTTGCTTTCGACAAAAATTTTGTCAAAACACAAAAACTTCGTTTAGCTGCACTTTCAAAATTTGCGGCAAACATATTTCTTTTAAACTTTGCCTCTATGGAATGACATGTATCCTGCTACAGAGTCGAACTCCTCAGATGGCGACAGAACAAATGAAAATAGAAATTGAAAACTCCCGGATCACTCAGGTGAACTGTCACGCTTAAAAAGAATTCAGCTCACAATCGAACTGTTAAATAGGAGAGGGAGTACGAATGATGATCGGATCATACAAGTAATAGTTTCTACGGGCAACATGACTCTGATTTCCGGCGACGTGACCTAGGGCGACTTGACCGGTTGCCACTCATTCCTGTACAGTTGCTCGGGTGTAATTCCCGCACCTGGCCATCACATGTAAGTTGAATTTGATTTTGGTTTTGCTTTCCTCCCTCGACAAAGACGAACGTTCAAAATTTCAATTCTGGAAACGGTGGAAGAGCAATCTCGTGGAGGTGCCGGCGCTATACTAGTAAGCTTTGGTAAGTATCAGTGTCCGATCACGTTACTCTTAACGCTAATTTGATTAATGTCCAAAGGACAACAGCCTAAAAAACAATTCATGATTCAAGTCTTATATCATCATGGACGTGCTTTTTGCACCTCTTCGCTTAATGGAATATTTTCTTCTGGTTTCTCCGGTTCTGGAAACGAAGGTACAAGGTATGGGCCCGCAAGACCGATAGCAATTCCGACTAATCCTAAAATTAGTCTTGATCTCCGCGACAGACGTTTGTAACTGGCAATGAATCCCATCCTCGACTTCTAAGATGACAAGGCGCCAACGCGACTCTGAGCTCGAGGGTGACGAGACTTTAGAGATTCAGTATGTATCTGGTATGGAACCCCGCTGACCAAACAGCACTCCTGCATGGTACCCAGTCTCACCTCAACGTGTTAGTTGGTAAGTGTGACGAGTAAGTGGGGAATGTTTGTTGAAACCCAGGTTGAAACTAATCACTAAAGCTGAATTGGAAATGCGTCTGAAAAAGTTCTTGTTACGTTATTATCCACCAGGTGAGGATATCTATATAATAAATTTGTGTAACTTTAAGAATTGCATTTAAAACTGAGCAGAGGAATTTTGTAGATATCAAAAAAAAATTACGAAGCTTTCAATCGTTCAGAGCTCATCAGTTGCTTTGGAATGCTAGCAAAGAGGAAATGTAGTTGTTAGCTATCTCGAGTATTTGTTTGGAAAGGAAACTTTTGGCTGAAATACCGAATATAAGCCCCTTTTGACCGCTGTGTTAACCACAGCTGAGGAGTTGAGCGAAAATACGCCTTGCATTCTGCGGTTACCACAAGGTTTGTTGTTTCTCTGGCTTGCGAAGTCATGATCGAGGGACATGTACCCAGAATGCAATGTATGCATGCGCGGTTCTGACCACTAGAGTGTTAAACGGTGATGATGAAACAGTTTATGGAATGGTGTCTCTTATAGCGTGATTGGTCAAAAAGCAATCAACACCAGGACTCAATTTATGTTACTAATCAATATCAGGTGCAAATAACAAAAATACTTGCGATTGATAGATAGTGATATATATATTTATTATTTGGATATATCGACAAAGTTGAAATGGTAAATTGGCCACCGTAACGATTACAAAAGCTGACGTTTCGAGCGTTAGCCCTTCGTCGGAGCGAATAGAAGAATTGTGNCGTATGATGCACGATCCTCGCAGTAGATAGCGCTATTTAAGCAATAGCGAAAATCAGACCTGAAAAAAATCAGGCCTGTACGGGATTCGAACCACTGACCTCTGCGATACTAGTGCAGCGCTCTACCAATTGAGCTAACAAGCCAACTGGGAGCAAGCCGTTAAGTTGATTCGTAATAAACCCGTGAAAGTGATAAATCAGATACAATGAAATATATGAAGTTCATATATTTTGAACTGCGCTATTAGATACATATGATGCACGATCCTCGCAGTAGATAGCACTATTTAAGCAATAGCCAAAATCAGACCTGAAAAAAAATCAGGCCTGTACAGGATTCGAACCACTGACCTCTGCGATACTAGTGTAGCGCTCTACCAATTGAGCTAACAAGCCAACTGGGAGCAAGCCGAGTTGGCTTGCTCCCAGTTGGCTTGTTATATGAATATAACAAGCCAATATATGAACTTCATATATTTCATTGTATCTGATTTAACACTTTCACGGGTTTATTACAAATCAACTTAACGGCTTGCTCCCAGTTGGCTTGTTAGCTCAATTGGTAGAGCGCTGCACTAGTATTGCAGAGGTCAGTGGTTCGAATCCCGTACAGGCCTGATTTTTTTTTTCAGGTCTGATTTTCACTATGGCTTAAATAGCGCTATCTACTGCGAGGATCGTGCATCATATGTTTCTAATACCACAAATATATGAACTTCATATATTTCATTGTAACCAAACTCACAGGAGTTGTTTCTGTATTCTTTGTTTGAGTATCTTCTGCTTCTTTTTGCATTTCCATGGCCAAAATTGTCCAAGAATTACAAATGTAGGTCTAATTCTACTTTTTTCATGTGTGGGATTAATGTGAGCAATCCTGAGCAGGCAAGACAGGCTCATCTTGCCCACTCAGTTAGCCAATCAGAACACAGCATTCACTTCATCTTGCCCGTGAGCGCTGAGTGATGAATTAAAAGTAAACATTAACAATACAAGGGTAGGCTGTATAAACAAAGTTGATGGTATTTAAAGTAATGTCAAACTGAATCTGATTTAAAATTTTAGTGGCTGTGTAGTGATGTGTAATGCAAGAGGTCTTACTACAGGAATTGAATATCAAAGTGCATGCAGTTGAATTACATGCACCAACACCATGGACAGTGTTGTTTTGCAGTTGGGCAAAAGTAACAGCCTTCTTATTGATCCCCTAGAGAGTCGTATATTTGGTCCGATGTGCATTGACATTTGAATCCTGTATAAGAATAAATTGGCAGAGAGAAAAGCATTTGTTGATATTTAAGTGTGCTGACTTGAAAGATAAACTTTTTTCAAGAGTTTTGCAGCTTTCTGAGCCACCAAAATGTAAGGAAAGACTGTAGACTGCCGTATGCTGCTTCAAGTGATTGAGTTGATTAAAGTGTCTAGCAACTGGTTTTGTTGTGTCCTTGTCATATGTTGCAAAGGTGTTCTTGGAATCGGTCCTTTAGTCATCTTCGCATTTCATTAATGTATTTCTTTTTGAAATAAGTGCAAGTTATGTAATAGATGACACTTGTGGAGGTGCCTGTTGAGTGATTAGTAATCTTAATGGATCGTTTGGGTTCTGATATTTTCTCAGCATTTTGATTGAAAGGACAAGTTTTGCATTGTGTGCAAGCACATTTAAAAGTTCAGGGTTGGTCATTAGTTTGAAATGAACTTCTGACCAAAAATATATAAAGGCTGATAGTTTCTAAAGAAACTGTTTGGGGCTGCGTCGGTGGGGGTAACGAAATAATTTGAATATATCAACAAAGTTGAAATGGTAAATTGGCCACCGTTACGATTATAAAAGCTGACGTTTCGAGCGTTAGCCTCCAACGAAGGGCTAACGCTTGAAACGTCAGCTTTTATAATCATAATGGTGGCCAATTTACCATTTCAACTTGGTTGATATATTCACATTATTTCTGACCAAAAAGTTGCCTAAGTATGTTTTTGTTACATTTGAATGAATAAGTGGAGGTTGCAAGAAGATTGTGCCAGTCTCTGGATGGTTTTGAAGTAATTTTAAGTTTTTAAGAATAATGGATATAACTGCATGGTTGTGAGGATGAAATATGAGAGTGAATGGAATGCGGTCAGAATTTTTTCTTCTGTCACATCTGTAGTGCTGATTGTCAATCAATAAGTTGGGTGCCATGGTGACCTGCATGAATGACAGGGTAACCATGTTTTTTTGAAAAACTTTTACAATGAATCTGATGTGTCCAAAAAAATCAGAGTCATCACCACACAAATAATGAAGCCTTAGAAACTGAGAAAGGGGAATGGAATTCTTGACATGAGATGGATGTGAAGATGAATACAACATTGCGAGTCAGTAGGTTTGTAATACACACTAGTGCATAAACCATTGCCTTCAATTGAAGTTTGATGTCTAAAAAGGATAAAGAATTGTCAGAAACTTCCTAGGTATATTTTAGAGCCGGGTAACTGGATGTTAGCCTCATTCTTTTTTTTCACATTGTTATGGACTTTGGTCCATAAAAACACAAAAAAAATAACAAGGCCAATGTCCAGCCATCTTTACCTCAGGCTTGGTCAATAGCATATTTATACAGTTATACAGTAGCACACACGCATAACAAAAGAAAGTCACTAAAACTGCATTAAAACAACTAACTAACCAAGTGGCTATGGAAAAATGGTAAGGAGACTTAACATGTTGTATTCCTCGCTTTTTTTTCCTTTGTAGTTTTCAAAATTTTTTTAATTTTTTCCTTTTATTAAGAGCCCACACATATGCTTAAAATTCAATCTTAATTTGTTAGGTATTCCTTTTAAGGATCTTCAGACCCCAAAATCACACACAGCATGCTTAAGCTGCCTGTGCATATACATGAATCAAAAAATGTCCACATTATCAGCAGCATTCTTTGGGGTTTTTTTTCACCATGGATCAAGAACAGATCAAACCTTGCTTAATATTTCCAACAGATGAAAATACTAAAGATACCTGTACATGTTGTGATTTAAAGTGCATTTCAGGTCAAAATCATTGTAAGCTATTTTGATTAATAATATTTTTCTTTGTCGGAGTAAAACAAAGGAAATACAAATTAAACTAGTTTAGAATTTTATTGACTAATCTGAACAACCTACAACATGTATTTCTTTCAAATGATCCAATCTTTAAGGATCATCAAATGACATGACATTTTTGGTAATTTTGGCCCCAAACTCTTTTCCAGCTGGAAGGACTGCTTATGACAGGCCAAGAAAGTAAATTCAAGGAATTAAACTAAAAGGATAAAGCTTTAAGAAGATGTATATTATGAATTGCAAATATATACGCCAGATGTTTTTATAGGCCTTTTTATCCTGTGACAGCTGTTCAGCCATTTATATTGCATTTTTGTTGTAAAAACCCAATCTCTTTTTAACCTGGACTCACTGCTTATGGCATGCCTAAATAGAAAATTAGAGGAATTCAACTAAAAGGATAAAGCTTTAAGATGATCCATATTATGATCTGTAAATATAAAAGGCAGACCCTTTGATAGGCTGCTGGAGTTGACCTTTATTTAACCTCCTCTTTTTAGTGGGTCACTGTCCAGACTTATTAACATAACACAACAAGAAATTTATATTTTCAAAAATAAAAAAAGGACTTTCAGCCAACACACAGAATTGAAAAGCAGGATTACATCACATTGAGGCCTGTAAAAATGCAGAAGTTGCATCATTTTTCATTTTTTTACATGGGGGGGGGGGGCAGGGGGGTTAACAGCCATCTAAGTGTATTTTGAACTTTCGATTCTAGGAGATTGCAAAGCATCATAGAACTTTGTGATATAGGTTTTAAAAATTGCTCTTCAAAAGGGTCCTCTGGGAAAAATAATCTGAATCACGAAATTTGCAATTAGTGGATTTTTATATTTATGGTCAGTGACTCTTTAAGTGTGTGTTAATCTTGTCCTCCTGTGCACCAATGAAATGCAGCCTTGAAACCCCATGGAGAGTTTTGTGACAAAGAAGTCCATTGAAATGTTTTAATTTCTAAAATTTTTGTTCTGGTGTATTATGAAATTATACTTCTAATTTGATAGTCTCTGTATCAGAGTGTTCTCGAATATTGATTCACTATTCCAAAATACTTAGCATGCTCCTCTTGATATTATAATTGCTATGCTTGATGGCAAACCCCTTTCTTGGAGGGATTTTGGCTTAAACACAAACAATTAAGGTCACTGAAGCCCAAATTTAATTTGTTTTGGATTGCCTTTGCTATCATTTTCCTGGCTGATTCCCTGGTGATGGCAGGGGAGGGGATTGCACGAACTATGGAACACTGTTACCTTTAATTTTTTATATATGTATCCTTTCCTGCTTTTTTATGTTAATATTGTAACTAAAACTTGAGTGCTAAATAAAGTATTAAGTTGAAGTTAAAGTTATTGTGGCCAGCTCCAGACTTCTAGGCACCTTTTCTTCACTTTGAACTTATACAGACTTCAATTAAAATAATTTTATTGAGTGCATGTGATTTGAGAATGCAGTGAGAAGTTACAGTGCATTTTAGTCTAATCTCGTATTTCTGCATAAATCTTTGATTTTAGGAATAATTTTGGAGTATGAACAATCAGGCATGATGAAGTCAAAATCTATAGACCTGTTGGATTTAAAACCCACGTGAGTACATATTCTTTTGAGGAGTGATATATGCAATTATTTTTTAGATTTATGATTGGTTACTATCTTCCTTTCTTACAGATTAAGAATGAAACTAAAATTACATGTATGTTTTGTCATGTAGCTTGAAATGTATTGGGTAAGGAGGTGCAAAGTCTAGATGAATTTCAGCTGGTACTTTTACTGTTTGAAGTGGATTATTTTCCTGCCTTCTAAACACCTTTTTGTCATTGTCTAAAAAACAATTATCATGGTATCAGGTAATTGATGCAAGTAATTTTGTAAACAACACACATATTCCTGCTAGCATGATATTTGTACAGACATTATTACTTACAATATTGCATTTCGAAATCATTTCGTCAAACTATATGATACAAAGGTTCTTTTTTGGAACTATTACTATTAATTGAGCTACTCTAAAAAAAAAAACAGAGGGATACATGAAAGGTCATTAGGACACAAATGTTTCAGGAGGGTTTTAATAATGGTACTGATATAGCTACAAACAACACAGTATCAAGATAGATGTGTGATGGAATAACACTCTTGGGGGCTTTTGTTTAAGGTCTGATGTTGATTTGCTACTGGATGACATTATTGCTAAGGAACCCCTTATTACACCCTCAAAGATGGAGCAAGTGAGAAAGTTAATTCTTAGTATCCTTTTATATTAATTTTGAGTTTTTATTGTATTAATTGAACTAACCTGACTGAAAAATTTTGAAATATCAAAAGGATTTACAGTTTTATGAAGGTTATGTAATGTAAATTCCTGCATGAGGGTTTTCTTGAGTAAAGTTAATCTTTAGAATGAAGTAATTTTAAGTTTTAAAGGGAAAACGTTTTTGATAGCAAGTGTTGTTATGATATTGACTGGAAAACTTTTATGATCAAGGGATCAGATACCACAGTGACTGTAACAGGTCCAGAATGTCATTAAAGGAATGCTTGTGGCTCTATTCTTCTATACTGTGAACATTTAACCAAATATCTCCATTTAAAACATGCATGTAATACATGTAGCATCCATTATTAAGATGTTTAAGATGAAAACTGGCAGTGTAAGTCTTCATAAGAGTTGGTCTTTGGGGAAAATGTAGCCATGGCAATTAAAAATGAAAACAAACAGTGCGAAATAGATCATCGATATCTCCCCTCTTGTTTTCAGTGTCTTGATGATCTGTTTGAACAATAAGAAGCTACGCAAAAAAGAATACTCAACTCAATGAGTAAATTCTTAAGGGATAATTAGAGCTGCAGTGGCTGCTTCCATTTTTATGAGTGTATAATTACAGTAACTGTAGGTAGCACTTGCAGTCAAAGTTTTTTTTCCATGTGAAAAGACAATTTTTTAACAATTTGGTCTATATGATATTTGGAGTCTCAAAACATGGTACCGGTAAGTTGTTACTGTGTACATTTACTTTGTCAAAGCAGGAGTTGACTGCTCCTTTAAGAACAGTGGTCCAATATCTTGAGATAACTGTTTTGTCATGTCATCATTTGCTTCCTTTGAAAACCTCTTAACAGGAAGAATGTATTTCATAAAGAAGGAGTAAATAAAAGAACGCACCACTCAATTAATTTCTAAAACCTTTGAAGTAAGCAACAGTTTTTTTTTACTTTTTTGGGTCAATATGTTTTGTATTAAATAAATGTGAATAGACAGCTGTATGAGATTATGAAAGTACAGATAATAACCAGCATATGATTTGCCTCGTGCTTATGCCTTGTATTTGTAATTGTATTATTGTGTGGTTTATTTATCTTTCTTGCCTGAGTAACAACTTACATGTTATGAGAGATGTCACTTTCCAGTGTAGTATTTACATGTTATGAGGGATGTCACTTTCCAGTGTAGTATTTACATGTTATGAGGGATGTCACTTTCCAGTGTAGTATTTACATGTTATGAAGGATGCCACTTTCCAGTGTAGTATTTACATGTTATGAGGGATGTCACTTTCCAGTGTAGTATTTACATGTTATGAGGGATGTCACTTTCCAGTGTAGTATTTACATGTTATGAAGGATGCCACTTTCCAGTGTAGTATTTACATGTTATGAGGGATGTCACTTTCCAGTGTAGTATTTACATGTTATGAGAGATGTCACTTTCCAGTGTAGTATTTACATGTTATGAGGGATGTCACTTTCCAGTGTAGTATTTACATGTTATGAGAGATGTTACTTTACAGTGTAGTATTTACATGTTATGAGGGATGTTAGTTTCCAGTGCAGTATTTACATGTTATGAGAGATTTTACTTTCCAGTGTAGTATTTACATTTTATGAGGGATGTTACTTTCCAGTGTAGTATTTTGAAGTGATATGCTCCTCTGTAATTGTAATCTACGTAATCTACATTTACAGGTCGGATAAAATTAATGTTTATTTAAAGTCCCAAATTATTTTCCAGTTTTTTGGGTATTTTCCTTTAGCAAGAATTCAACAGGACTAAAAGAAAAACAAGCAGAAAGTGTGGATCACCATTTCTATCTTTTCAAGGTATTGGTATTCAGATAGATATGTTACTCACCAGACAGTAGGTCCCATATTAGGAAAACTGTGCCCAAGATCTTGTATACTGCCCAAGGCCATATACAGTTTTTCCCAATACAGACCAACCTAGGCTGGTGAAGCAACATGTTTATGTTTTTTTTCTAGCACTTTACAAAATGTTCCCCAAAGAACGGGAATGATCTAGAGATACAATTACAAGTCAAATTACAGAAAGATCCTCCAGAAACTGAACAATTCAGTAGTGAATAGTTCATAAAGAAAACAGAGGTTTTAACTCTCTGAGTTACTTTTTGGGAAGGATTATTTGATCACAAAATTAATGATTTTGGGATGTGTTTCATTCTTTTGTAAAATCAAATTTAGTACCGCAAAATTTATTTCAAGATCAGTTTTTGTGGAAAACCAAAGTGACTTGAGAGAGAGAGAGAGAAAGAGCAGAAAGCTGCCCAGCCAGTAAAACAAGATATATTTTTGAAAAATTGCAATGCAGCCAGAAATGTCCTGCAAAGTGACTCAAACAGATGCCACTTGCTAAGAGTGCCCAGCTGGATGGGACAATACAGCCCACTCCCAGAAACAATCAGATCACATGATTTGTCGAATACTGCCTGCTATTGAACTGAGAAAAAATAAATATGTTATTTATTTCAATCATCCTTTTAATTTGAGACATTGTAAACACTCTTACTAATAAGTCCCCAGTAAGTTGATCAATCTTCAGGGCTTTTTGACAGGGAGTATATCAAAGAGGAGAACAAATCTACAACCATTTTGGGTTCAGCTTAATATTAAGTATATAACAGTACTGTACTAAAAACTGTAATGTATTGTACACTGTATATTATTGACCTTAAACATAATCCCTCTCCATGCCTTCCTTTTATTTTTTTGTGAAGGTTTTAAGAGCTCACATCCTTCCACTGACAAATGTGGCTTTCAACAAGTCTGGAACAAGGTAATTTTTTCGTTGTTTCTGGTTTTATAAAGAGCACAACTGGACTTTAATTTCACAATAATTTCTTCAGACCTAACTGCTAATGTGGCACCACTGCAACTGAAGACTTCTCTCTTTGAGATGGAAAGGACAATGAAAAATTTAAAGGATTTATCAGTTTTGGAAATGGACCATTATCTACACTTCCATCCTTTTGTATTCAAAATGTGTGAAATTGAAAATGATGAAAAGATAGCTTAGGATGTAGCTCAGTTGTAAGTATTAGACCATGATCTTGATCAATACTAAGGACCTTATGCCAAAAAAAATGTGCATGTGGACAATAGCTCAGCATGAGCATTTTAGAACTTTGTACATTTCTTAGCCATCATCTGCAAACCGACAAAGTGAAATCCACAAAATTTGTGTGGTTTGAGAACAGAAAAACTGACAGCAAATTATTCAAGTCTCCATTTGGAACTAAACCCTGCTCAGATATGTCTGCATGTTGAAGTTGAGGTGTGGCACTGTAAGAGAGGATAAACATGTACAGCCATTCACAGGATTCCAACTGAACAGTTTTGTCAAGGTTAATATGTAATGTCATTTCCTGCATGCACGTTTTCCAAGCAATGGTTTTTAAGATTAACCAGATAAAGTATTTTGGTGACATAAATTTGGAATTAGGAATTGGGTTTTTTTTTGGTTTAGTTTCATAACAGGAAGCTATGATAGAACTTGTAAAGTGTGGGATACAGCCTCAGGAGAAGAGCTGCATGTATTGGAGGGACACAAAAATGTTGTTTATGCAATTGCATTCAACAATCCCTATGGGTAGGTTGTCACTTATACCAGGCTATTGCTTTGTATCTAATTTGTTGTAATTATGAATTTTACCATAATTTACTCAACATTGCCCTTTTTTGTGCTCTTTCAGGGACAAAATAGCAACTGGATCATTTGACAAGACTTGTAAGGTAAAAATTGTCTCACAGCTTGGAGATTAGTTAGAATAGATAAAATTGGTCGTTAAAAGAAGATTACAGACTAGAAACAAAGTGTAATGCATGTACCACTACCGGTTGTATCAACATCCTGTAACTCTGCCTTTTACACAAAATAGTTGCATTTTCTAACTTATATTCTGACAGTTCATTTTGTCGGCTTCTAATGACTTTACATGTGCCTGTTTTCCGTATAATTGAAGATCACAATCTTTGTGTTCATTAATTGCAGTAATTTTGAAATCATGTCACAACTGATCATGCCGTTAATTTTTTGATAGCTATGGAGTGCAGAATCTGGGAAGTGCTACCATACTTACAAGGGACATACTGCTGAAATTGTAAATTATGATTTGGTTCTAGTTAAGGAGTATGCTTCAGAAACTCTGTAAGAGACATTGAAACTGACAGTGTTTTGATATTTGAAAGGGTAATCTTACCTTTCTAACATTGTCTTTCAATGTCCAAATGTTGCAGTGAAGAATGCCACCATTTTGAGTATTGTTCAGCACCTGGGCTGCTAAACAGTGTGAAGTAACAAAGTCTTTACACCCTTCATATATCTTAGTGGTCTGTTTGAACAATTTGGAGCTATGCAAAGGCATGTTTGATTTACTTTGATCCATTTTGTGTTTTGGTATCACTACAACAGAAGTTGTTGATGAATGACATGTTGTTTGCACTTGTGTTTTGGTTGATATAATAGGAGTGTTTTCAAATTCAAAATGGTGGCATCTGTAGTAAAAATTGGCACATTTGAAAACAGTTTTTCATGTTTGGGTATACTTTTTGGAATCTCAAAACACTGCAAGTGGTAGATTTTAGGATATACTGTGAAGATAAAAGTTATATAGTTTCAGGAGCGTACCTTTTATTAAAGTACTATCTGAGTGTTGAAACTGCACTGACTATAGTACTATACTCCCTCTCACAAATTTCTCTACCTCTCATAGGAGAATTTTTTTTAGAGTATCACCAGTTTTTCAGGGCATCATAATGTTTCTGTTCCTTCCCTTTTGGAAATCCTTTTGTCGTATCTTAAATTGAGTATGATCAAAGTCCAACAAATAGGTTTGATATAATTTATAATGTTTAATGATACGACTTAAAAGGAAAGTACAAAACAGTCTTATTCTTCCTTTGTTCTTCTTAAGACGATGCATGTAATTGGTAACCACCAATGATAAGTTGTGAATCAGTGGTACATGTTCATGGAGTAAAGCTACATTTAGGAAATTAAAATACTTGTTTATGGCACTACTTTCCCTTATGTTGGATTCAGGTGTGTGTTGCATTTAATCCACAAAGTACAGTTGTGGCCACTGGAAGTATGGATACTACAGCTAAGTTGTGGGATGTACAGAAAGGAGCAGAGATATCCACTCTGTCAGTGAGTATACTCAGTATTTCCAAATAAAGAGCAATATTTCTCTCAGATAGTCAAATGACTGTTACAGCTGCTCCCTCCCTTACATTCTAATGTAAGATTAGAACTCATCATGCTTCTTTTCTTGTTAATACACTTAAAGGGAATTAATTTGTTTATCTTCAGGGTCATTCAGCAGAAATTATTTCCTGTTCATTTAACACAACTGGAGATCAACTGCTCACAGGCTCATTTGATCACACTGTGAGTGTTTGGGATACAGCAACTGGAAGGTTTGTTATGTATTACATGTGCACCATTTGTAGATCACAACTAACCATAAGTGGCAATGAAACTCTCTCTATCCAAATGAAAATGAGTGTTTCACAGTTGTGGCAGTTTATTTTTTGTGTGGTGCAATGGTGTGTATACATCTTGTCATTCTTTTGCCAAAAAACAAGTTTAAGGAGTTATTGTTTCCAGAAAAAAGGGGAAATTTCACCCATTGAATTTCTCTGGTTTCTCCAATGCATTTTTTAGACACATCTGAGTTCTATAGACTAGCATAGACTTTGTTTAAATGAATTTTTCTTTCAACTTTTAAATTGAAAAAATTGTTTTGTAAAACTCAGAAATGAAGTGAACAGAGGTGACATTGACTTACTGAAATGTAAATACATTTGGCAAGGTTTGAACTCTGATTTACTTTTTGTGAGGGACTGGCGAATTACAAACAGTTTGTAGAGAGCGTGACATCAACATATGAGGCACCTCAGTGATTTGAGTGACTTGAACCTTATAGTTTTGATGTTTATTTCTTGGGCAACTGTCTTATCAGCTCAACTCTTTGTTTCAGTCATATTTGTGGCTTTCAATTTCCTGCTCTGTACTACTGTCATGTTGAGGTTACTCCCTGAAATAACCCATTACATTATTTCTGCCCTGTTACTTGGCAAAAGTATTAATTGTTATGGTTAATGTCGACATAAATGAGTACAGGTGTTGATATTAAGGAGCTATCATGATGAGATTTGCATCTCTTCAGGTTTCTTTAGTGCATGTCATCTGATGTATTGGTATTTGATCGAATCAGTAATTTAGTTCAATCAGGTTAGGAATGGAGAAGAATGTGTTGCCTCATGAACTCAACTTACAAAAACTGAATTAAGGAAATGACCGCATCAGTCATCTTATTTTTATAATAAATTATTATTTTAATTTTATTCTTACAATACATGTCCTAACTAATGCTCATTGATAATCATTTTATACTTTTATTGGATAGATAAAGGGCTGTGAGAGATAGTTAATCAATATTTGGCTGAATTGATTGTCGCTCGTCTACAAGTTACTATTATTTCTCTTTCAGGCGTTTACATACACTGATTGGCCATAGAGGGGAAATTTCCAATGCTCAATTCAACTTTGATAATTCTTTGATAGTAACTGGATCAATGGTAATTTTGTTGTAACCAGCCCTACCCTCCTTTGTTGTCATTATCTTTGCTGTAGCCTGGCTCTTTTGAAATCTTCGTTTTGTAGTTTGGATTCTTTTATATCCTTTAAATGTGTTTACAAAGACCATTGTTGTTGATATAGGACAAGACATGCAAAATTTGGGACTCAAGGACAGGGCAGTGTATAGGCACCTTAAGGTAAGATTGTAAAAGGTCATTCATCAAGTCATTTTGATCTTTCTTCAGTAGCAACCTGGGAAGGGGCGGAATGGTGAATGACGGTATCTGGAGCTTTCGCCGCTTCCCTCCACCCCAACCATCTTCGCGAGTTCACCCCCCCGGAGTAAAATAAGATTGCCCCCACCTTAACTAGTTCGCCCCAAAATCTTTAAACTCATTTCCTCACGGCAGAACAGATTCCTTTTCTGTCGAAATCATGATATATTTTTTGATCGGGTGCGAGTATTAAACTGCGAAATATCCCTGTTGGTCACTGCTTTAGAACGCTTAGAAAAATTTTTTATCTCCTAGTGGAGCCGTTTCTGCTTAGTTCGTTCGTAAAAGTAGTCTTTTACAAAATCTACTTCGAACATGATAGGGTCAAAAAACCAGTTAATTGAAGAAGGGAGTAATGTAGGGGCTTAGCATAACTTGTGTATCAGTCGTGCGTAAGTTAACACGCTTAAGAATTTGCATGTTGATCGAACTTTGTTATAGTTTCGCTGACAAATTGCATATCGATTAAAATTTATTATGATTTCGACTGAAAACGAACATCTGTTCCATCAAGAACTCTGTAAAGCTTTGGTGTTGCATAATTGTATTTTTTTTTCTTATTTGCTATGCAGAGGTCACGATGATGAGGTGTTGGATGTGTGCTTTGATTTGACCGGTCAGTACATAGCAACAGCTTCTGCAGATGGTAGGTTTACATGGTATGGTAAGGTGTAGGACTAGCCCAGGGCGATTATAGCCGGAGCGCTGAACTTTTTGCATTGAATAGGGTACAATTGACTCTTTGTTCACGTTGAAACCTTTATTGCAAGCGAACGCGTACACGGCTCTTTTCATTGCTTTTTTTTGCTTTAGCCATGCACAGTGTACAGATTGACCGTGTGATGTATGCGCTAGACTCCGTGTCTGTGTTCTTTGATGCATGACAAGTCTGAAGTAAAGAAATAACACAAAATTTACGTTTTCACCCTGATTAGAAGCAGAACATCTTATTAAGACAGTTATTCGCCTCATGCCCGCTAAATAGTATTAATTTAACCCCGCGACCTCGGGGATTATTATTCAACATTAGTATGTACTAAAGCAGTGGATGGCGTTGAAGGCGCTCCCTAATTGGCTACCCAAAACTCCGAATAACCTTTGCTTTTCACTTCCAAGGAACTCGCGCGGGATTTGTGCCCGATAATATTGTAATCGTTGTAGGAGTAAACGAGTTAGAAAGTCATCATTTTGTGTTATATTGTGGCACGGTTTTAGACAACTATTCACCTCGGTGTTGATGGCTAGCATTGGATATTTACCGAGCTGCCAAGCACCTTGGTAAATATATCCACCACTCGCCACCTCCACTTCAAAAGTCACTTCGCCTTCGGCAAAACGAAGAAATACATGATACTTTGGCCATCTAAGGAAGACTTATCGAAATGGAATAAGGTTTAGGCCAGTATACTCTATTGGAAAGTACTAGTATTGCATTTCAACCAGATGATATGACTAAGTTAAACACTTCTATCACAGCTTACGTCACACTGCTTGCCTTACAAAAACAAAGCGCTAACTGTTTTACAATGCAACAGTAAAGTTAGTATTCGCGCTCTAGGTTCTCGTTTGTTTGTTAACTTGTTCGTATTTCAAATTACTCGTTTTTCAGGAACTGGAAGAGTGTATAACGCTCTTACTCATCATTGTGTTTCAAAACTTGAGGGGCACGAAGGAGAAATTTCCAAGGTATAGTAGTGTTTGCTGGTGGTGTTCAGTGTAAGGCAGGTTAAGTGAACATGATGAGATTCTTTTTAGTTATTACTTTGTGGTTCTTAAGTTAAGCAAAACTTACCCAAATTTTTTGATAAGAAATAGATAACATTGGTTCGCTGCCTCATATATTCTAACGTGGGCACATAAACAATCTGCGATGCAGGCAGTATCGTTTGGAAGCATTCGCGTATATTAGAAAAGACTTCAAGAATGTAGGCTAAAAGTTGTATAGAATTTGTTCAGACGTTTTCGAAGGAGGGAGAATGATTGGACGCAGTCGAAAACGTTTATCAAATAAATATGAAATGTTTGTATTTATAGTGTTTAGTCACCGGGGAGCATTAACAGGCAGATGATGGTCGACATTTGCGCCGATATAACTTTTATGTTCCTTTAAAATTATCATTATTATTATTATTATTATTATTTGTATTAGTATTGTTGTTTTTGTAGTTAGTATTATCACCAATGTTATTATTGCCGTTTGTTTCTGTGTTCTCTGCAATAGAACTTTTTAACGCCGTTGGATTTTATATTTTTGTTATGTTTAGATAACTTTTAGTCCTCAAGGTACAAGGTGCCTTACGGCAAGTAGTGATAAGACAGGAAGGCTTTGGGACCCATTTTCAGGAAAATGTATACAGGTACAAAATGGAAACTTGTGGAATGTGTAGTTACTAGTGACAGGTAGAGAATGGCTGAAGAGATGAGAATTGTAACATTTAAATAGCTGTTTCAGGCTGTCGGTAGGAAACTGTGTTTAAATGAGTAGTTGTCTTCGTTACGTCTCATGTGTGATGGCGATACTACTTGCTTGTTCCACTAGTCTCCTTAACCGTGACAAATGTTCGTAGTCGGTGATAACTTTATCACAAGAAATTTCACGTTCTAGTCGGCGAAATTTTCATTGAATTCAAGGTAAGCTCTGAGAAAGGTATGAATCTGTAAATTTACTTTTTTTCATTAGGTTCTTGAAGGGCATAATGACGAGATCTTCAGCTGTGCTTTTAATTATGAAGGAAATATAATAGTAACAGGTAATAGTAATCTAAAAGTGTGTCTAGTAAGTTAATTCCTTTTACACATGTATATATTATTCAGTTTAGTGGGGCCAGTAAAAAGCTGTGGCCTATTTTCTATACGGATGATGTTGAAATCATCTTTTCAACACAGTAAAAAGCGAGAAAACTAAATGAATGAATATATAGATATATAATATATAATTAAATGAATAAATAAGTAAACAAATAAATGAACATCTTTTGATTTATCTGATCAATTTTTATGGTGTGTATTCCAGAACTAGATCCGCACTAACAGTGGTACAGTGTTACTGACACGCTGCACCACTGGATTAGTCGGCTGATAGGGTAGTACCTTCTTGTACCTGTCAAACGCCATTTATACTCCTTAATTTATTCAACAAAGATACAATGAAAATTGAGATTTTACAAGTAATTGGTTTTGAGAGGAGTATGAATTTTTCCTAAGATAAGACATGCTTATTTGCTAAAAAGATAAGATGTTTTGAAGATTAGTTTCAGTTAATGTGAATAACGATTTGGACGTGGCCAGAGAGGGTGGTCTACAATTCCATTTCCATTCACCGACTTCCACAGAACGTCACTATCAGGGGAAAAGGGCCCCGTCATTTCATACTTAAATGGATTAGATATGGTGTCGGTAGCCAGTTTCTCTTTTTACCTAATGTCATCTGTTTGGGTTTCTATAGGTAGCAAAGACAACACCTGCCGACTGTGGAGGTAACAAGAAAGAATGTACGCCAGCGGAACAATAGTCATCGTATTTTACTTCAACAAACAATAAGACAATGTACTTTAGGCCGAGGTTATTCTTTCTTTCTTATGTTGAGGTAGATTGTCCTCACCTTCCCCCGGAAAGTTTAGTCGTTTCCAAAAATTTTCGCACGCCCTTAAATTGGTGGACGATGGATACAGAAGTTTCCTTTCGCCTCGCATTCTCAGCAATATCTGTTGCAGTTGAGAGTGCCCCTCTAACTATTCACAAAGACTTAAAGTATGGGCTTCGGGAATGCGAACACGGAGTTTAAACATTGAGTTTAAATTGGTAAAACATTCAACGGGATGTAGCCTTGAATATTTAGAGGAAAGATTTTAAACTTACTTGCCTTAAGCGGATAATTTTTGGAACTTAGGGTCTAACTTAAATCGCGTGCACATCGTTGCGTCATGAAGCTGCCTCGCTGAAAAATGAACCCTTCTGGTTGTTACATGAGGGTCTCAGTGTGGTTTACCGTTAACTTGGCTAAAGCTTGCTATTATTAGTCATCACATCTTCGAAATTTTTCTTTTCGTGGTCTAAAATGGAGTCAAGAGGTATGCTGCATATCACAAGAAGGCGATCGGCTTCATTATTCACTGGATACATAGTTGAACTGGTCCTCTTGTTAGCAATTAATAGGGGGGGGAGGGGGGTAGGACAGATTTACTTTTTTCTGGAAATGCGTCTGTAATCCATTCTTTTTGGAATGTTTCATTTTGATAAATTACAGACCATTAAACATTAACCGTAGGTCACTTAGTGATGGCTGTTTACCAAGAAATGTAATGCCATTTTTTGAAGTTGAACAAGTGAGTACCACAGCAAACTTGTAGTTTTGAAAAGATCTTTCCTCACACATGTTTCGTTTAACACAGATATATGATGGTTTCACACAGGAGCCACGTAATGTGCCTGGGACAACATTTAGCGTGAAGACTTTTGGTTGATTAAAAAAAAGCTCAGATAAAAGCTATATTCAAGTATTTACGAAATTCTACCTAAGCCATACCTCTCGTGAAAACTGTAATTCGGAAAAACCCTTAATCGTTAAATGGACGACAATCAGTTAACAGTCCATCCTCGAATGGCTTATCTTTGACCTTCGACCATCGAAAATTCCTCCGCACTGAGACCCTTTACGGATAAAACGCATTTCAAGCCCTTATTTGAAAATAGATTTAATATATTTCGCATCTCGGAAATTTGGAAAGGGTACGTGTTCGTGTTCTTCCGTCAGGAGCATTTTCTAAAATAGGGGCGGATGGTTGGGTTGTTCCCTGTTCCACCAACATTTACGTTCTTTTCAGCACTTTCTGTGAATTTCGGCAGGTTTTAAACATTGCTGATTTCCTGTATTGTCTGTTTCAACCATGAAGTGTTTGTGTAAGCAACTGAAAACCATATGGTTCCTGCAAATGGTCCTAACTGCGTTAAGAAAAGAAGTTGTCATGATATTTTATTCTTCAATTAGATAAATGTTTAAATATTTTATGAATATGAAGAAGAATATTGTTAATAAATATTGTGATGGTGATGATGATGATTATGGTGGTGAAGTATAAAAAGACTACTATGATTGGAATCAAGAAAATATCCACATTCTCTTATACTTGTTATAACTTACTACAACTGCATTCGGGTGGAAAGACAAAATTGATCCAGAAGTTTCTGTTAAAAAGAAAGAAAAACAGAAGGGAAAAAAACCACTCCGTTTCAATCTTTTAGCACTTCTTCACGGTGACAAAGCAGAGATCGATGCTCCTAAAGAATAAAACAATTCCAAAATAGATTTAGGTACTTGATCAACTTTCGCTTTGGCAAGACTTGCCATTTTCCACTTATTTCTCTACTTACGGATTGAGTCAGTTACTAAAGTAACACCTAAAGGTGCTACAAACGATTCCATCAAGGTAATAAAAGGCCAATGAGAAAGTTTCCTTTGAAAATTCGAGCCTCTGACCAACCAGAGGTGAGATCAAGTAAAGGCAGGTAGAGGTTTAGAAATGAATATTATCACTTTAAGTGTGGGAACGAATTTGCAGTAGCCAATTCTCTCTTGCTGTATTGAAAGTAAATTCAGAAATTGCACAAACTCTGCATTGGATTTTAATGCAAATGTGATACTCTACTTATTATCCAGCAGCCAGAATATTAATACAGCTTTCCCCTTTCTATGTATACTGCTTTCGCGTAAAGGACTTCCCAAGTTATAAAATCAAAAAGGCCTAGGAGGTAGGTCGTGTTTCGAGTGCATGCCGGTGTGAAGTGAAAAATAATGTATTATGCATAACAATGTTGAATTTATACGAATGAAGCAAAATAGCCAAACATGTCTTTAAAATGTGCAATGGTCGAAAATTCATTGGTTTAAATTTACCGAACGGCTTGAAGTCATTTTTTGCATTTCTTGCTACCGGCAAACCAGGCCTGTCATTCGAGCGAAACTCAATCACGAAAAATATTGTGATGATTCCGTTTGTTATTGTTTGGATTTTTCCCGAATTGGTGAGATTTACTGGCCTTCTCCAGGCGTGACGAGACCCAAGTTAAGGTCTCAAGAGGTAGGTTATGTTTCGAGCGAATGCTGATATGTAGTAAAATATAACTTTTTGTTTTTAAGAATGTTAAAATTATACGAGTGGACAAACAATAGTTAACTATCTCTTTGAAAAGCGGCTTGGTTGAAAATTCATTGGTTTGAAATATATCCATCGGCTTGCAGCCAGTTTTTAAATTTCTTGCTGGCTTCAAACCGAGCCTGTCATTCGCGCGAAATTGACAACACCATTGCTTTCATTACCGTTGGGATTTTTCCCGAATTGGTGAGATTTAATTTGATCTTCTCTAAGCATGATGAGACGGTCACAAATAATGAAATTGATCCAGGGATTATAGTACTTGAGTTCGTACAGGAGACAAGGTACACATGTGGTCATACTTAGCTGTTGTTTGGTTGTTCATTGTGTCAAGAACATTATCTTTTTGTCTATCATGTCATTGAACCTACTAGAAATTTCGAAAGCAATTCTGAACGTTTCAAATTGGACTAATGTACTTTGTTTCACGCAGGTACATTAGCATTTCCCAAAATATCTGCCTGCTTTCTAATTCAAGAGGAGGAGTTGTTTTAATAAAAAATTAAAGTCGTACTTATTTCCATTCGTTCAAGAATCAGGGGCACGACATTCAAAGCGATTTTTGAACAATCGTAAGCAGTCTGATTTTGACCATAAAGATAAATCGCCAAATCGAACAACATTCCATAGTAAAGCTTAAATCGGTGGCCTCCGCATCATAAGGGTTAGCAAGAACATATTTCCCCAATACATCACGACGTCATGGAACTCATAGTTGAAACATGAGTGTACATCACATCAAAGCTTTGTTGCTCCTAACCTCTTTTCTGACCCAGACGAAGCAAGTACGGAGTGGAAATGGGCAATCTGCCGGTAATGCCGGCACTGAGGCAGGCTTCGGCATGGCTAAACTCAGCGGAGGTGGAATGATTGCAATCATAGTACTTGGCATTTTTGGTGTCGCTTTGTGTGTAATTATATGTTGTGCCTCCTGGTCAATGATCATGACATGTTTTGAACTTCGTAATCGTGAAGAAACTAACGGTGGAGACCCCTTGGGAGAAACCCTTAAAAACGTTACCCCGGAAGGAAATTTCCTTGCCAAGTCAACCTTTTTTCATCATCCTTTGGCAAGTGAGGGACAGGTGGACTCCACTGAGTCAGTAGTGTAGTTAGACATCTTGACATGACTGCCTGTAACTGGCTCTACCGGGAGGGGTTTCTAATGCAGCTTCATAATGAAAGTATAGCTTCTAACCAGGAACTAAAGTGAGCCGCCGGTGTACATCCAAAATAGTAAACAAGTTTATATGCACGTTCGATGGGACAAAGCGAGATTCACGCTTCCAAAGACTTGGATTTTAATCTTCAATTGGTGGTTAATGTGTCTTTGTGGAAACTGGAACCGTGCCAAATAACTGAAAAGACTATCACACGGCATGATAAACAAATGCAGCAAATTTTTAAGGTCTTTGGGAGCTTCAAATTCAAGAAGAGTAAAATGGAGATTTTCGTTGTGTTCTTCGTAAAACTTAAGAAATGATGGTTTCAGCCAAGCTTCCACTTGTTAGAATTTGGCTCGTCTTGTTCTGAACAGAGGACGTTTCAATTCGAAAAATATTCTGAACGGAACAGAGTGCTTGTAACTGTCTACTCAGACTGCAATAGAGGGGGGGGGGCAAAGATATGTATGCGCAAAAAGAGCCACCCAGAAAAGCACCAGCTTCGCGAAGATCAAAGTTTTCGAGCGGATTTCCTTTCTAACGATGGGTGAAAACATACGGTACAGACAGCGTCAACTGTCTAAGAGATACATAGCATGCTTCTCAAAACACTTACTACTAATATGTTTTGTTGCTGTTGTTGTTTTTTTCCATTGAATGCGTAGGAAATTTGTATAAGCACAAAAATAAGTATCCTGTGGTTAGTGATTGGTTGTTTCTTTATTTATAAGTGTTTTATTTAACCAGTCCTTATTTGAGCTGACCCTAATTATATGTTTTTGTCTGAGTTACTTTAATTTAGTCACCCCTGTACCTTTTTTTATCTCTTTTTTCTCTTTCAGCCTCCTTGGAAATTCATTTTTACTGTTTTTAACTCTATTTTTCCGTTTAGGAAATCGATGTCGGGAGATAAGTCATTCCTAAATCTTTTTGGAGACTTCTGTACCGAAGATGCGGGAATCTTCTAGAAATGGACTACAAATTATTTTATGGATAGAACCTCTAGAGGACCAAGGGAAGGGGGGTGCTGTGTATTTGCCACTTGAAATAATATGTCTTAGAGAGCGGTTCTGCTAATTTTGTATTTTCTTTTCATATTTATACCTCCCCCCTTTATGTTGATATAGCGAACTGATTTTAAAATAAATAATACTGCAATGGAGTTTTATCATCTAAGAAAGAATCAAGAAATGCCTTACTTTATCGCGGTATTCTCTTTGGCAGTATTAGTTGTCTGCTAAGTAATTAGTACAAAGCTTAAGAGGCTTTCACCCTACCCCATAGCGTTCCATTCTTCCCGTTCTTTAGAGGGATGTTGCGATTGACAGTATCAAAGTCGATCTAAGAACGCTTTATTTGTCTAAAAGTTTATCGTTGATAGACGTCCCTTGGTTATCATTAATTTCTTCTACGGCTTGTCCTTCAGAATACCTCTTTTCAAATGCGAATTGGAAGTGTTAGAGAACACTGTGCCTCTCTAAATAATTTATCAGTTGTTAAATGGCCTAGCTGGTTAAATTATTAGTCTGAAAAGAAAAATGATCCAATGGGATAAAATGGTCCACTTAAAAAATGGTCCAACTGGAGAAAACTAATCGCCTCGCCAGTTACAATAGTTTAACTAAGTAAAATGATCCACTAGCTAAAATGCTTAACTAGTTCAATTGGTCTAACTAGTTCGATTGTTCCTTTGGTTCAACTGGTTGAAATGGTCTAACTAAGGAAAATGGTCCCAATTGTTACCCTCATCCAATTGGTGAGAAAGATCTTACTAGATAACAAGGTCCAACCCCCAAAATGGTCTTATAATATAAAATAGAACAATTCATTAGAATGCTCCAGTTGGTTAAAATAGTCAGGGTAGATAAAGTTTTCCAACTGTTTAAAATGGTCCAACTAGGTAAAATTGTCCATATCGACTATGTCCAACTGGTCCAATAATTTCACACTGTTAAATCATGTGGCTAGGAAAATGATCAGACTTGTTAAAGTGGTGCAAACAGGCAGAAGAATCCAAACAGTTAAAATGAATCAACTGGTTAAAATCATCCAACCAGTTAAAATGGCTGAACTAGAAAAATGGTCCAACCAGTTACCAGTAATACAATCTAACTAGGCAAAAGGGTTCAACTAGTAAGGAACCAATTGGCTTAAATGGTCTAAGAACTTAAAATGGTCCAACTGCTTAAAAGATCAAAATAGATGACATGGTCTAACTTGTTAAAAGGATCCAACTGTTTAAAATGGTCAGACTGGTTAAAGTGCAACAACCAGTTAAAATAGTCCAACTGGTTAAACAGATCCATCTAATTAAAATTGTCAAGCCTGTTAAAATGATCCATAGAGATAAAATGCTCTACACAGAGAAAGGGGTCCAACCGCTTGAAATGGTTTAACTAGATAAAATTGTCCAACTAACAAAATGGCCTAACCAGGTAAAATGGTCTAACTACAAAGAGTCCAATTGGAAAATGGTCAAACTAGAAAAATTAATGGTCCAACTGGTTAAGTAACCCAGCCAGCTGGTCCAACTAAAAAAATGCCCTATGGGTAAGAATTGTCTAACTTGCCACAATTGTCAAACCAATTCAAAAGGTCTTCTTACACAAAGTGGTCCAACTGAATAAAATGGTTCCATGGAGATTATACCCACAAACTGAGCTGTACAGGGCATGAACTTGAAATCTTACAATAAAGCGGGCATGTTTTTTGCAAGTCCATGCAGATAAACAAGCTTAGCTATGAAATCATTACTCACAGGTAAAACAGTCTGTTCATTTTGATAGGAGCATGTTCCCACTTGAACTACTACTGATCATCATTGGCTGCCTAACATTTTGAAACAATGTAAATAAGAGGTAATGCTTCAAAACACCCGAAATCAAGGACAACCAGCAAATATTTGTTTCACGTTGAAGAAAATTCATTAGAATCACTTAGTCATTGATGAAATATAGATCTTACATTTGACATGCCAAAAAATCAAACTTGAAATGCTCATGTATGAAAAAAGGAACCATTTATTAATAATTTATTCTTGTTGTACAAAATTACAATTGCTATTTCCTTGAAAGTGACTCAGATGTAAATGTTTTGAATTACTTTATACATCCCAATATGGGCCACCTTATTTTTCTTTTTGGGTTAGTTTCTTAATCTGTACTTGATGCATGCCATAAGTTTTACATTGAGAAAATATCAATTAGTAAAACTGGGTTCACCCTATGAAAACAGGAATGGACAGAAACGGTTTCATTGCTTTGAGAAACAATAATTTTTTTTTTAATGAATCGTAGCCCCACAACTGTTTTTTTCCGTTGAATTGTAAGGGAAAATGTCCATTACTTCTAATGGTATCATTCATTACAGAAGTTTATGTTGCTGTAGCAAAACTACAGCCTTTTAAAAATACCTGTTTTTGCTTTGTCCGCCCAAAACTCAAGCACTTCCTCTGTGACTCCCATTTTTTAAGCAATGACTTTTAAATTTCCTTTCCATGAGCCCAATAATTATTGTAGAGAGGACCAAAATGGTTTAGAACATTTTTTTAAATTTAACCTTCCCCAAAATAATACTTTGCATCATTCCTGCTCACTAACAGTCTTACAGTTGCTTGAATAATCACACTGGATGCGAAGACTACATTTAAGATTTACTTACAAAGGCTCTAGATGATAAGCCCCTTATCCAATACAGGCAAACCTGTTTTAAGTGGTCATCCTCAAAAGGTATTGGGTGGAAAAATGTTACAATATACTTCAGAAAAGAAAGAGTCAGTTGTGAAACCATGGGTGATATTAATAAAGCAACAAAAGAATTTCAGAATTATCTGTTAATGAAGGGAGAAATTTCAGGAACCTTGACAAGTGATTGCTACACTGATCAGGTTTGACCTTCATTCTTACTACTAAGTGATAAGGTTCTATTGATTTGACTGCATATTTATTTACTTAACTTTACTGGATTTGTATATAAATTATATCTTTTTGATTCTGTATTAAATACAATCTCAAATACTGACAAGTTAGACAAATCTAGAGGGTGCATATTCAAAGGTTTGTTCTTCCTCTGATGAGACAGCTTCAGATAACAATTGTTTCCTGGTGTAAAAAAATTAAGCAAGTGTTAGACTACAAATTTCAATGTGATAGTGAGTGCTGCTGATGAAAAAAGGGTGGGGGGAGAAGTTTGCAAGGGTTTTTTGAATGGGGGAAAATAAGGTATTTCTTAGGGTTAGATTCATTTTGGTATGCCATTCCATAACTCTTAATTGTTCGCAGGGGATTACTTGAATAAGTTGAAAATGTCCTCAGAACAATATTATCAGGCTGCCTTCCCAACTTTTGGGCTCACTGGCCATAACCAATAAAGCTCTATCTCATTAGGTGTTGGTAAGTATGAAAGTATGTAAGTGAGTAAGAAAGTAAGTAAGTAACTAAGACCACTCCAAGTAAGACCTCATGCACCATGTTGGTCATGGTAAAGTTGGTTTATTCGATACCTCTAGGTGACATAATTGTTTTTTTCTTTTAATTTTTTTAAATTTTCCTTTCAAAAATTTGTTTTTCTACCTTTTTCCCCACTAAATCCTTGGCTTGTTTACTACACTAACTTACTGTACAGTAACAGTTGTAGTTGAGGGGTGGTGGTGGATGATAGTTTGGACCATTAACTAAAAAAACTTCAGTCTAATCCTGATTTAGCTAAAAAGTTTTGTTGTGGAGCTTCCATTCACCAATATACTTAACACATAGTGCTACTGCTATCATTGAGCAAGATATATAGAAGGTCAGGACAAAACCAGCAAACTTTTGACATTGAAGTCTTGAAGAGAGCAAGAGAAAAGTGAGTCAAAACAAAAGTTTTCGCATTGTTGTATTCCCAAGTTCTTTATTTTATACTGATATAGACTCTATAACTACACCACTTTGAATACTGTAAACATTTTTGCATGGGTTAAACAGCCTAAGTTTCATTTAAGCATGTAAAAATCTCTCTAACTATTAGGTCTAATCTTGCGGTAAATATACAGCTTTCAACTGACTGTGTGGATTAAACTGTAAAATAGAAAGCCTACTGAATGTTTGGTTACTTTCTTTTCACATGTTTCGCAGTTCCTTTTACCACCTCTTTCTGCTGACAAAGGGCTGGAAACACTTCTTGAGAGAATACTGAAGAGACCAGCATCATGTGGTAATAAACATCATGCTGCAGATATCCACACATGACTTTTTGGTTTATCAACCAAAATATCTTAGAACATTTTCATTTTGTGTAAATTTACCATACAGACTAACAGTTTTTAAAGCTTGTGTACGTTTTCTTCCATATGTGTATCAGTACACAATGACCAGTTGACTATAATCAAGTTAATAAAGGCTGATAGTTTCTAAAGAAACTGTTTGGGGCTGCGTCCGTGGGGGTAACAAAATAATTTGAATATATCAACAAAGTTGAAATGGTAAATTCGCCACCGTTACGATTATAAAAGCTGACGTTTTGAGCGTTAGACCTTCGTCGGAGCTCCGAGGAAGGGCTAACCCTAGAAACGTCAGTTTTTATAATCATAACGGTGGCCAATTTAACATTTCAACTTTGTTGATATATTCAAATTATAATCAAGTTAACTCTTGGGTGCCATTTCAAACAACTCTTATAAGTAGTGTTAGGTAAAAAGTTTAAAAAAAATACTTCACATCACTTAAACAAATTATGCTTCTGCAACAAAGATAAAATAGATGTACTCACCTTATACGTATCCTTTCACATTTTGGGCATTTCCCTTCTACAAAACATTCCTTGTGAAATGATGCTCGACAGCCTGAGAAGAACAATTATTAAAGACAGATAACAATCGATCAATTGGAAAACAAGAAGACCAAAAATAAAATCATTGGAATGAAGCATTCAAACTTCACACAGAATCACAAAATATAACCACTAGTACCACCATAATCTGAATCATTTTTTTAAAAAACCTGTGAATACACTCAAGCAGTATTTGGATCAATGGCAGGGCTAGACACTAACGGTAGCCAACTGGTAGCGACAGACTAGTATAAATTCAGTTTTGGCTAGGGGTTTTCAATTCCCACTGACCAGTTTGGCTAGTAAACAAACTGAAATAGTTGTAACATCTAAGTTGTCACTAACCACTTGTCAATGACTAGTAAGTTGAAAAGTTGGTGTCGAGCCTTGAATGAGAACTGCTGTTTAAACCATGCCCAATATCTTGGGTCCATTTTAAACAGGGCATTCACTACAATAGGAAAGCTCCTGCAGAACCATCTACAGATCAGCTTCAATTTGAAGACCCATTCACTCAGTACTTAACAGTCTAAGCTACAAAACATATACAGTACAAACATGATGCTTTCTTCTGAGAGAGGGAATACCAACAATTGCCAACAATTGCCAACAATTGACTTTGGAGAAATAGTAAGATAGCGTTTTGACGGTCCAAGCATCTGTTTTGAAAATTATGGGAAAGCAACACACCTGTACATTGTACAACTCTGTTCAGCAGAAAAGGAAATATGATGTCATCTCCATCCTTGCAATATTCACAAATAAATCCTTTGGCAAGACACAGCTGACAAAAGAGTAAAAACAATAAAAAAAACATAACCTCCAGCTGGAGTGAAAGAGTCTGGTTAAACAAAATGGGAAGAGACATTGTTTTCCGGCCAGTGCTCCATGGTACTACACAAAGATACACACAAAAAACATACAACTTCCATGAAAAAACATGCAAACAGCACACCATGGGGGGTATGTATCAAATATTCCCTTTTCTTCCCTTTAAATATCTTATCAGGAACTATAGGTGGGGCGTTACGAAAACGAAGACCCTCGAAAATGAAGACCTAAGACCTGAGATCCGCTCTTTGTTTTCGTAGTACAAAAACGAAGAACCCTGGTCTTTGACTTCGTAGTACGAAAACGAAGACCCTGTAAACAGAAGACCCTGTAAACAGAAAACGGGGAAATTACAAGTTAAATGCACATTAAATAGTAACAACGCTTAGTAATATAATACATTACACTTCATGCGTTTCTTCCCATTATTATACTGCCTGTATTATTATACGGCCCGTCTTGTCAGTGTTCTGTTTCGCTATGCGAGCCAATTTGGTGTTGATATTCTTGAGGGTTTCCTCAGGTAAACTTACCACACATAATATAATTTATTATTATTATTCTGGAACAGCAAGCAGAATTCCAACGCCAGCCACCTTTGATTTATAGTTAGCATTGCGTGACAGGATAACAGAGAACTCGTTCTGTACAGGAAAAATGACTCTTGGCTTTTGTCAATAAATAATCGATTTCTACTGTGTTTCAAAGCTAAAATAGATTCCGATGGTCATTAAGCTTTCTCTGCTGGAAAATTCTCATAAAAAAGTAAGCAATTCTTTTGGCTAATGCAGGGTCTTCGTTTTCTTACTACAAATAAAGCCTGCTTAAGGCCCTAAAATATTCCAATCACTCCTTCGATGGGGATGTCTGTTCCAAATTTGGACTCATTGCATAGAAAAACAAATCGAAGAGCTGATCAGCTAACAGAAAGCAGTGGTGGCTCAAGAAAGAACAAGAAAAACCACACACGAACTGTCTTAGCATGTCAAAAGCTGAAATAACAATTACTAGTGCTCAGGGTACGTCTGCAATCATGCTTTCAAAGGATTTTCTGCTTTCAATAAAGAATCTTTGTTTTCGTAGTATGAAAACGAAGACCCTGCATTAGCCAAAAGAATTGCTTACTTTTAACAAGAATTTTCCAGCAGAGAAAGCTGAACAACTGTCAGAATCTATTTTAGCTACGAAATACAGTAGAAATCAATTATTTATTGACGGAACCCAAGAGTCATTTTTCCTGTACAGAACGCGTTCTCTGTTATTCTGTCACGCAATGCTAACTATAAATCAAAGGCGGCTAGCGTTCGAATTTTGCCTGCTGTTCCAGAATAATAATATGTGTTGTAAGTTTACCCGAGGAAACCCTCGAGAATATTAACACCAAATTGGCTCGCATAGCAAAACAGAACAGACAAGACGGGCCATATAATAATACAGGTAGTATAATAATGGGAAGAAAGGCATGAAGTGTAATGTATTATATTACTAAGCGTTGATGCTGTTTAATGTGTGTTTAAGTTGTAATTTCTACAGTTTTCTGTTTACAGGGTCTTCGTTTTCATACTACGAAGACGAAGACCCTCCTGGTCTTAGTTTTGGTACTACGAAAACTAAGACAGGGTCTTAGGTCTTAGGTCTTCATTTTCGAGGGTCTTCACTTTCGTAACACCCACTATATGTGGGAATTGGGATCATATATAGCAAGGTTGTGTGTTTAACTGTGACCTTGGAAGATTTGGTTATAAACCAAAACACTTTCACATGGAAGTCTCAAATAACCAACACAGAACTGAATGCTTTGGATCAAACAGTTCTGACCGGAAAAGCCAGCACAGGAAGTTGAGTATGGGTCCAAGGCAAGGTCAGCACACAAACTAAGCACATGCACAAGTGGAAAAAAATCAACTAGATGGCCACAATCAGGAAACTCATATAGGCAATTTCCAACCTTTTCTGATTTTGAATTCAAATCTACTCTTTGTTATTGGAAGTATTTGTGACTGTAATTTAGTCACCATCATAATGACCTTTTCTTATTAGGTATGTAACTTTATAGGTCAGTGGTGAGAGTGCTGAAACATTGTTGCTACATGGACAAGTCACCCATGGATTCTTTTGCTGGACCAAATGTATCAACAATAAACACAAAAGTTTGATTTCTGTATGATTTGGGATGTGATTGCTAGGAGGATATTATATCAGATTTACAGAGAAGAGCCTATGCACTTTCCTCACAGTCTAAATTGCATCAGTCAATAAATCACAGACTTTATGATACTCAACCAACACAGGCAACACACAACCCTTAGGTTGAACTTTTTGCATGGCAAAATGCATACCATTTCATGCAGATTATAAAGTAAATAAAGCAAGGACTTTGATGAAGTTAAATTCTCACATCAAATCTATATAGGTTTTGAAACATTATGTGGGTCTTACTAATGCAGTTGTGCAAGTTTAAAGTAAAAATAGTTGTCCCATAACATTGTTTTTTTGACAAGAATCAATATCAAACAGTTCTTGTGATGCATGAACCAAATGAAGCTTAGTATGTAAAGGCAGTTTAAATACCAATGAATCAGATTAAAGAATTTTTTTAAAAAAATACAACTTGCTTCATTATTTATCATACCTGACAATGATTTATATGATTGAGGGATTCCATTGCTAATTTATCCAAAAATTGGTATAAGTGCCCATCATGCACCTGCAAGAAAAAGACCAATTAATAAAAAAGTAAGCTAGTTTTGATCTAGTAGTATCAAATTACCTAACGATTGAAACAAACTTATCTTAAGATGGAGACACAAGTTATTTATTCAACACTATAAGGCTGTTGCAAGGGAAAATGTAGTTGGCCCTCACTCAATTTTGTTTTCCTCTTGCATGACTTCATACACAGTTCAAGTAGAACCTGAGTGCAACCCTGTCGATGGCTTCATTGGAAAAGAATCAACAACAGAAGACCACAAGTACGCCTTTTAGGTTAATATAAAAACATAAAAGATGAGAACAAAAATAAATCGTGTCACCCAGTTTTTTGACATAACTTGTCTGTTTGTTGAGATCTAAACTCCAAGTTTGCATTTCAAGCAGGAACTTTTCTCTTGAATGGTACAATTTTTTTGTGTGCAATAGGAGAACAACAATATAGCAACTGATTGGTTAAAAATATCATAGTTGACAGTGCCACCATGAAAGGGCTTCACCATTGCTTGCAAACACTTCATCAAAAACAAGTTCTAGTCATTGTGATGAAATTTTGTGGGCCGAGGCCAGGAACGTGTTTTAGTGTTTTAGTGCGTCGAACGTGACTACGAGACGTTATGTCTAGCAAACTGACTCAAGTTCTAGTCAATTTGTGCATATAAATTTAATAGGATCCGAGAAGAAAAGGCCAGTTTTTATAATGCCAAGGCCAATTAAATTCTGTTTCAGGCCGTAACAAATGTTAAATAAGGTTTTACAAAAGTACCAGGTATATGAACATTTCTTTTATTACTTTTAGCTTCTAGTTTGCCAAAATATAGGTAAATTGTTGTAATGATCTCTGACAATCACTGTCATCGATGTCTGAAGCAATCTATAATTTTTTACTAACCAGCTCTCCCACTAGCATATCATGGTTTCTTCCAAACAATAATAATAATAATTTTATTAATTTCTATTGCACCATTATCAATATAAATTTTCAATTGCGCATTACAATGTGATCTTAATACATTGTCAAATATATAAAAATACAAATGTAAATGTAAATTTAAATATATAAATACAAGTAGGAAATATAAAATATATATATAATAAAAAAAAATTTAAAAAAAGCATCACATCTAACACTATAAAAAGGCTAGTCTAAAAAGATAAGTCTTGATGGCCGTCTTGAATTTGTTAATTGAATTCAGGTCCCTGATATTACTAGGAAGCTCGTTCCATAATTTGG